AAGTACATTGTCAGTGTTTTCTAGAATGATGGCGAATTTCTTTGAAGGTGAGTAAGAATTCGGAGTGGTTCTGTTGTTGTTTACATTCTCAGAGGGAATGCCATTCGTAGGTTGATTGTTGACACTGCCGTTTTCGATGTTTTGGTGATCTTGATCGATGTTTTGGCTTCGGGGGTGGTGGTTTTCTTCTGGATCGATGAATTCTTCGGAGTATCCGTAGTGGTTTGGTGAGGATGCAGCAACTTGAGCGAAACTCATGGTGATGTTGAGGTTATGCCAGGCGGGGGCCCGGCGTGGTCCAGTAGTGAATGGAGATTTTTCGTCTCCAGACGAAAGGGGGAGTAAAAATTCTTATCACATCTTGATGATTGATGGAAACATTCACTAATTCACTTTGGGTGGGTCCCAAAAACTAGCAAGAAACTAGTTAAAAAGCTTTTGAAAACAGGAGCTGCACACGGTCAACTATCAGTGGTCCCCTCGAGAGAGAGAGAGAGAGAGAGAGAGAGAGAGAGAGAGAGAGAGAGAGAGAGAGAGAGAGAGAGAGAGAGAGAGAGAGAGAGAGAGAGAGAGAGAGAGAGAGAGAGAGAGAGAGAGTGTGCGACGAGGCGACTCGCTTGAAGAGGCCGAAGAGGCGGACGAGTTGACAGAGGCACCGCAGCAACTTGCCGCCACTTGGCGCCGCCCTGAGGCGAGGCCCTGGGGCCTTGGGGCTTTGCACAGTGGGCCAGAAGGCCTGTGGAGGCGGGTGAAACTCTAGACGCGTTCTGAGCTCCAGAGTCGCTAAATGGGACTCGAATCGGACGTGTGACCCCACCAATGGATTGCTCTCCGAACGAGGATTCCATTGGTGGGGTCACACGATCGGTTCGAATCCTGTTTAGCGACCCTGGAGTTCAAAACGCGTCTAGAGTTTTGGCCGCCTCCACCGGTCTTCTGGCCCACTGTGCTTTGCCGGGCTTCGCCGGCCCGGCTCGACTCCTAGTCCCCGAGTCACCAATTCTGGACCAATGATTTCTTCCGCGGGGAGCGGGCCGGTGGGGCGGTTGGGGGCGGGTTGGGGGCGGGGGTTTGGGGGGGGGCCGGGGGCGGGCCGGGGGGGGGTGGCTTTGCCTTGCTCTGGGACACTAACTTTCCCCTACACCCCACAGCCCTTCCGCCACCAGCACGGCGGCCACCCTCCCCCAGTGGGTCGGGGGGAGACGGTCGGGGAGCTATTGATTGAGGCAGGCGAGAGGAGCGCGGGGGAGAGAGGGCGTGGCGGGGCATGGCGGGGCGTGGCGGGGCGGGGCGGGGCGCGGCGGGGCGCGGCGGCACGAGACGAGGCTAGGCACAGCATCCCCGGTCCGGCCGGGCACGTCCAAGTCGTCCAAGTCAGGCTCCGCAATGCACGCGCGTCGCAAAGCGTCGCACAGCCAGTGTGATTGGAAAGGCAATCTGCGGTTCCGACGGAACGAGGTGTCTCACAAGTGTCTCTCGAGACACCCCCGCCTCTCTGTCCCCCGGGGAGGTTCCCCGTTCGCGAGCGAGGGGGGCGGAGCTGGCAGTGTGCCAACGCCAGCGACTATTACACCAGGCCGAGGCGGAAACCGCACCGAGTCGTGACAAGACTCGAGCGACTTGCACTCGGCCCATTAAAATTCTCATCAGCGAAACACAATAGTCTGAGCCGAGCCACTCCGGCAGCGCGCACCGCCATAACGGAGACTCGGCTAGAGCTATCATGGGCGTCCCGCGCGTCCCTGGGGCCTACACTAATAGAAGGGAAAGGTGCGCAGTGGCGCCAACCCCCGCTCATTAGGCCCACCTCACTGCTGGCGGGTCGCCCAGCTTTCCCCCTGGACCGAAGCGAGACGGAAGACTTGCCACAGGTAGGAAATTTCGGAGTATCCGTCCGGTCTAGTCGAGTGTACGCCACACAGCTGAACCACCTACCCCTCCCCGTTTCCCGTTTCGATATGACTTGGGCCTCGCCGCGCCAAGCTGCTAAAACCGGACTAAACTTGCAGCAACACGTGCGAGGGGGCCACCACTCTCATTTCAGGCGTACACAAGATTACGGGATTACGGGATATTTACCAGGGATTACGCGTGAAATTTTCGAAAATTGGTTCGAAAACGTTGAAAAATAGCTCAAAAACGTTGAAAAATGACTAAAAACGTTGAAAAATGACAGAATTTTGTCAAGGATTACGTGATTACGCCATGGATTACCAGAGATTACCCGCCAATTTGTACACAGGATTACGGGGGTGGTGGCCCCCTCGAACACGTGGCCACAGTGTGCGCGGCACCAAACGCCCGGCGGGCGGAAAACCAACAGCAAACAAAAAGGACAAGTCGGGCCCGCAAACATCGCGGACTGACCGCGCAAGCAAACAACAAAAACAAAATTGTTTCCAAGCGTCAACGCGCAGAGGGGGTTGTTGAAAGTAAAAAGTGCGGCGCGGTCTGGGGAGAGAGCAGGGGGCTAAACAGCTACGCGAAAATGCGATGCAGCGAGGAAAGAGGGAGAGAGAAAGAGAGAGGCAAATAAAGCAGGCATGGCAGAGGGACACCACTGTGGGAAAAAATCACAGTAAATCCTGTAGTGATTAGTACAGCTGTCACTGTAGTTCAGAGTACAGGATTTACTGTACTTTTTTAACAGGATCTACTGTACTTTGTACGGTATTTACTGTACCACAGGAGTGAAGTACGGAATATCCTGTAGCAGGTACAGTAAATACTGTAGCCAGGCACGGTAAATCCCGTGTTCTGAACTACACTGAAAATCCAAGTGTGGGACAGGCATGCACTAGATAACGTGGGACAAAATGTCCCACGCTTGTAAGCGTGGGACAAAGTGTCCCACGCTTGCAAGCGTGGGACACGGTTTGCCCCACGCTTGCAAGTGTGGGACACGGATTTGTCCCACGCTTACAAACGTGGGACACCGTTTGTCCCACGCTTGTAAGTGTGGGACACGGATTTGTCCCACGCTTGTAAGTGTGGGACACGGTTTGTCCCACGCTTGTAAGCGTGTAACACGGTTTGTCCCACGCTTGCAAGCGTGGGACATTTGTCCCACGCTTACAAGCGTGGGACAGTTTGTCCCACGTTATCTAGTGCATGCCTGTCCCACACTTGGATTTTCAGTGTACAGTAAATCCCGGCAAAAAATTAACGGGATTCACTGTGGTTTTTTTGCACAGGGGTTGCAGGCAGACATGGCAGGCCTCACCTTGCCGGGGAGGTTCACCGGCTGCAAGAAGACAGAGAAGGAAGGTGTTAGTACACAGACTGAGGCAAGAGAAAGACAGAGACAGGCAGTCCTCGCACACGTCCACACAAAGGCCGAGCGCAGGGGCGCGGCGCAGCGCGCACAAGCAGACCATTTCAAAGCGACTCCCTTCCGACTGAGGCCCTGCCCGGCCTTGGCCAAGGCTGCCAAGGTCGGGAATAGAAATGAACCCCTGCATATCAGCGTCGGAGTGTTTCTGCTGTTTTCGCTGTCGCCCCCTTTTTGTTTCATTTCAAACACACCCAACAACTTTTTAATCAAGCCCCAACGAGATGAAGCCCCGTGTACCGCCAACCGCGCATGCATGCACAAGGTTCCAAACCACCCGCAAACAAATAATAAACAAATTAAAAATTTACGTCAATGAATGACCCGGTGGGGATGGACCCGTTGTTAACCTGAAAAAAAAAGAATAATAAATAAAAATAAAAACAAAATTTACACAAACGGACAACTTTTGCACTCCGACCACGTGTCTTTTCCAGGCGTCTTTCCTTTGCCAGAGCAACCACCGCCTCCCCCCAGTCGTGCACTGTAAATGTCTTAAGGTGACAGGCTGCACCAACATATTATGGTGGGGATTTTCTCCATAATACCAACGAAATTCGTCAAAATATCTATAAGGTACAGTGGATTCTCGATGGTATGTTACGAAGTCAGCTGCACCACCATAATATGGCACATTTTCACCATAATATGGAGAATCTTCACTGTACCGGGTGTAAAATGTAACACGCAACGGGCGAGCGGGTTGCCTATGCTCGACTCGGCGGGCGCGCCGGAACGGAGCGGTGCTGTTAGGGGCGGTCATTGCGCCCCTGCGCCGCGGTTCACGCGTTTTTTCGCGGCATAGCGCCTTCGCGTCACCGCCACGTCTTGACTCAACGGTGCGCGAGGCCGCGAGGCCGCGAAACCGCGGCGCCAGGACTTCAGGACATCGCGACTTCGCGTCACCGCGGACGCTCAGGACTCCAGGACTTCGCGTTGTCGCGGGCCCATGATTCTTGAAGTCCTGGAGTCCTGAGCGTCCGCGGTGACGCGAAGTCGCGATGTCCTGAAGTCCTGGCGCCGCGGTTTCGCGGCCTCGCGGCCTCGCGCACCGTTGAGTCAAGACGTGGCGGTGACGCGAAGGCGCTATGCCGCGAAAAAACGCGTGAACCGCGGCGCAGGGGCGCAATGACCGCCCCTAACAGCACCGCTCCGTTCCGGCGCGCCCGCCGAGTCGAGCATAGGCAACCCGCTCGCCCGTTGCGTGTTACATTTTACACCGGTACAACATTTAGAGTGTGCCACACCTAAGGCAGGGCGCGGTCTAGGCAGCGCGAGCCTCGCCCGGGGAGGCTCGTTGTCACGCTTTGGCTGGCTGTGCACTGGTAAAACTAAAGCGTAGTATTACCCTCTGTTTTCAAGCGTAATCAGTTTACGCTTGAAACCAAGCGTAACAGGCTCATCCGCTAAGATTCCCCCTATCTAAATGCATGGGGGAATTTCCAGAGTATGCTTGATTTCAAGCGTAACTCTATGCTTACCTCAAGCATAGTGTTACGCTTTAGTTTTACCAGTGTGCTGGCTGTGCCCCACGCGAAGCGACGCGGTGGCATGGCGGGCCTGCGGGATGGGCCTGTCGCCTATCGCAGGGCTTAGTCCCCCCAGCCCAGTCTGGCCCGGACCCCGCGGCCACAGGCCTGACCACGCGCCCAAATCCGCGCCAGCCAACCAGCGGCACGCCGTGCTCGGCGCGAACCTGCAGTCCCATTCCAAAAGAGAGAAAGAGAGAGAGAGAGAGAGAGAGAGAGAGAGAGAGAGAGAGAGAGAGAGGAGCGCGGTTCGGAATCAGCCTGCTGGCACTGAGCGATTCGCGCGTCCCTGCACGGCCCCGCCCCGCCCAGCGTGCAGTGTCGCCAACACAGGACCTTGAAAACGCTACAGGCTGAGCGCCGCGGGGGGTAGCAAGACCGGGCGAGGGGAGAGAAAGGGAGGGGGGAGGGAGGGAGGACATTGTAAGGGGCACGCAGCGTAGGGAGTATTGACCGAGGATCCAGCGGGAGGCAAGCAGGGCTTTTAAGGCGGGGGGAGCGAGCACACGCCCTGCTGGGCCCTGCTGGGCGGGCAGGAAGGCAAGCCTCAGGCTAGGCTCGGCGCCACCTCTCTCTCTCTCTCTCTCTCTCTCTCTCTCTCTCTCTCTCTCTCTCTCTCTCTCTTCGCGCTGCAGGTGGCCGAACGGAGGCCACAAGGAGGGCCAGAGGATGCCAGGCCAGACAACGCGGGGGCTGCGGTGAGGGGTCGACGAACTCATTTTCGGCAAACTCACCTCCGCTTCGCCCCACCTTGCCCCGCCCCGCGCCCCACCCCGCCAGGCCCCTGGGCGCCGTAAACCACTTAGGAAGCCACCGTGTGCGCGCACACGCTGATCAACAAGAAGGAAATTCGCGGTGGGTAATTAACCCGGGGCACAGCAAGGAGGAGGAGAAACATCACGCGTCAAGTGCCGCGACGGTTATTGGCTTATTGCCCGCTTTCAGCGCCAAGCCTGTTATCGTCCTCACAGACTACTCGGAGCCGGACGCGTTTTCGTGGAGAGTGTGGGATTCCCTCGCAAAGAGCGGGCCAAAGCGAGAGAATCTCAAACGGACCCCCCCCCCCCCACTCTTTTCGAGAGTGAGAAGACGTGCTCAGCGCCGCTTCTAGAGCGCAGGCCCACTGGAAAATGGTGAGATCGCCCGCCCGGCTTGACAGCGCTCGACAGCCCCAGGTGAAGGGTGTACTACTCGACGACGGCGGCGCCACCCACAGCCCCCCCCCCCCCCTTTCCTCTTCCGCCGCCCCACCCACCTCGCGCCAGTCCGTCAGGCGGCAAGACGAAATTTAGCATTGACCTAGAAAGGCATAAGAAGCGGAATCTCGACTCGACCACGTGGTGAAGCGGCAGACAAAACGAGGCGAGGGGGAGGGGGGGGCGCCAGGGGGAGGGATCTCTCGCGATCAATAGGAGCGTGGTGGCCCCGCGGGGAGGGGGTGGGGGGAGGGCGCGGCGGCGTGCTATCCCGGTCCGGTGCGAGGAAAGCTGAAAGGGGCTTAAAAGCACGTAAACCTCGTTTCCGTCAAGGCCACGCTCTGCCACCACAAAGAGTGCATCACCAAGTTGGCGTGAGTCCCCCCCCCCTCTCCGCCACCCCATTCGGACCGCGCGCCGCCACGCCGCGCCACGCCGCCGCACGTGGTCAGCGAGTTGGAGGACGCCGAGTAACTGGAACCCCCTTGGAACCCGAACCCGAGCCGCTAGCTGGAGCATGGCAGGAGCGAGCAGGAGCATGGATGGAGCATGGCTGCAGGGTGTCCGGGGGCCGGTACCGCCGGAGAGATCCGGCTGGGGCTGGAGTCTCAAACTGGCACGCCTCGACGCGCTACACGAGACTGAGGCAGGGTTTTGTAGGACACGACAAAGGAACCGGCGGGGGATCCCGCACCGTCTCACAGTGGGCCAGAACCGGTGGAGGCGGCAAAAATTCTAGACGCGTTTTGAGCTCCAGAGTCGCTAAGTGGGACTCGAACCGAAATTGTGATCCCATCAATGGATTGCTCTCCGAACGAGGAATCAATTGATGGGGTCACACGTTCAATTTCACTGGTAAAACTAAAGCGTAGTATTACCCACTGTTTTCAAGCGTAATCAGTTTACGCTTGAAATCAAGCGTAACAGGCTCATCCGCCAAGATTTTCCCTATCTAAATGCATGGGGGGGCTTGATTTCAAGCGTAACGTCTTCAAGCGTAACTTTATGCTTGACTCAAGCATAGAGTTACGCTTTAATTTTACCAGTGTTGAGTTCTGTTTAGTGACTCTGAAGCTCAAAACGCGTCAGGAATTTTTGCCGCCTCCACCGGTCTTCTGACCCACTGTGCTTCCCGGACAGGATCCAGGAATATGACACACGTGACGCGGAGACCGGGCGGGGCCCCGCGGGGCGCGGACTGGATAAAGGGCGACGCTCTCCAGGACTCGAGCCGGCTTACGGGGTGATCCCTACACGGCAGGCCTTTACAACACACGCCGAAGGGGGCCCGGGCCCGCGGGCGGGCGGGGGCAAGCCGGGGCAAGCACGGGCCGGGGTCGAAAGCGCTATTGGCCCGCCCCGGCAGCGCGCCAGCCAGGCACACCGTGCGCCAGGCCAGGCTATACCGGGCTCGTCCCACAGAGCCTCCACAATGGGGTCCAAGTGCACCGCAGCCCAGCGCGTCTCGCCCAAAGGTCGGGGGTTCGAATACGCCCCCGGCCGCACGCCCTCAGACAAGACCAGCGCCAGCGGCAAAAGCCCTAGAAAGGTTGAGCCCCACAGTCGCTAAACAGGACTCGAACCGAGCGTGTGACCCCACCGAATAGCTATCCAAACGAGGAATTCATTGGTGGGGTCAGACGTTCGGTTCTCAAAACGCGTCCGGGGTTTTCATCGCCTCCGCCGGTCCATGGCCGGTCTATTCTGGCCCACTGTGGACCGGTGGCTCTAACCTAACCTGGGCACGCCAAGCGACCCAAGCAGCCCGGAGGCCCGGAGGCGCGCGGCGGCGCGACTGCACGTTGCAGACCTCCAACTTGTGCCGGCCTTCCCGGAGCACTGCGGTCCCCGTGGGGCCCCGTGGGAAATCTGGTTAAAAGGCATGATTATGGTTGCACGCGCGGCGCGCGCGGCCGCCCTGAGGCTCACAGTCTGTGACGCACGGGGCGAACCTGGCCAGCTCGACCTGCCAAAGTCCTCCCGGGTGGCGAGGCCAGGCAGCGAATTCCGCCAATCAGAGTGCGTCTGCACTCCGTCTCCACTCCGGGACTAACTTGTTCACCTAGCCAGCGACTCGCTGCGGCGACAGGGAAGCGTGGCGTATGCCTGCCGCGCCACACCCTCCAATAACAAAAATTAGCCAACTTTGCCAACATGAATTTCCTTTGTCAATTATTCCTGTTCCGGCAGTGCAGCTCGTCACGGAAATAACAAGCCTTGGTCGAAAATCCTCCCCCTTCCTCCTCCTCTCTCTTCCAAGATCAAACACAAAGAAGGGTGGAAAATTGCAGCGCCAGCCAGACCGCGGGCCGATCGAAGCGTTGCTGCTGCCGCACGGACAAGCCAACCCTTTTATACCCCCGGGACACATAACTGCCAAAATTTGGGTTGCCATTTAATGACAATGTCGAGGCCACATTCCCTTGCAACAATGTCATCAATGACGACATTTTTGCCACGCCGCCGATACGCGGCTTAGGAAGCCTATGGCAGAGATATAGGTGATTTCCAGGGAGTTACTGGGAAAACCAGGCAGGAACTGTTTTTACCATGTGGTGAAAATTGTCCATATTTTGGTGGTGCATTTGACTCTATAATGTACCTACGAGAATTCACTGCACCTTTTTGACGAATTTCGTTTGTAATGTGGACAAAATCTTCAATCTGGTGCACCGTAAGGCATTTCAAGTGCGAACCGAGTGCGCTTCTGGCGGCCCCAAGCTTCCGGACATTTAGCGCGCTTGGAACACGCGTGGGACAACGACGGTGACTTTACGAGGCCGAGGCACATGCTGGTGTGCTCGAGACCTAATCAAGTGGTGCTACGGCACTGTAGGTCAGCTTCACGACAGCCGCGCACGGTCACGCGATAGCCCGCGCCACTGTCAAAAAAGTTAAATCGAATCGACTGAAATGAAGTTTATTTCCTCGGGAATGGTATAACCGACCGAGAAACCAAAACTTTACCACAAAGCCAAAGGTCAGACCTCCTGCCACTCCAGAGGCGAGACAAAAAATCTTGCGCATTTGGAGTCAGACCTGAAAGTCTTGCCAAAATTTGGTCAGACCACAATGCACCCAACTAAAATGTATTTGTGGAGCCTCTGGCAACAAATCCTTTTTTATTTTCGAGCATTTTTGTCTGACCGAACTTTGGGGAGACTTCCAAGTCTGGCCACAACGTGGCAAGACTTTCTGTCTCGCCATAATTTAGCGCCAAGTCTTTCCATTCAATTTTCAGTGTAACAGTCGTTTAGGCCTAATCTTTTCATTTACAGTGAGGTGACGCGTGACCGCGCGGGCCGGCCTCGTACCTGCGGGCCATAAATACACGCACCGACACGGATTCGCGACAACGGCGGCAACACGCTGCACGGCCCACTGGTAAACGGAACGGGCCGCCCGGAAATGGGCCTATAAACACCCCGCGGCCGCCGCGGCCCGCCGGCAACGCTGCAACAACACGGACCGACAAATACGCCACCCGCCGGTCATAAACAGACAATCTATAGGCCGCGCTGGCGGCGCTGCCGACCGGGGCCCAACAACGCCACCGCCGCAGCGTCGCATACATTTTAATCATTTTGTTTGGTGCATCACTGGGGGAGGTGGGGGCCGACTATGGGGGTGAGGCGGGGTGGCGCGGCCGGGTCGGCGCCTTTGACGGACACGTCTCTCTCTCTTCTCTCTCTCTCTCTCTCTCTCTCTCTCTCTCTCTCGCTCTCTCTCTCTCTCTCTCTCGCACCAAGGACGCTGCTCGCCACGCCCACCGCCTTTGCAGCGGACCGTGGCGAGCCGCACAAAAGGAGAGACGCTACCTGTCCTCGCCCCGCCCGCCCCGCCCCGCCCCCGGGGTTCACACTTAAGGAAAGCGGCGGCAAGTAGTCAGAAAGCAATCAACTGGCCCCTCGGAACGAGGAGCGCGGAGCGGCGCGAAGCGAGGAGGCAGCTGTCTCGCTCTGTCTCACTCCCTCCGCCACATCCTTTATTGCGAGCGGCTCGAGAGAGAGCGAGGGAGACGGAAAGGGGGCGTGGGTCAAAAAGGAAGGCGCGGCGTCCAAAGAGGTTTCCGGGGGTGAGGAGCGAGGCGAGGGCGGCACGGAGGGGCGAGAGGGAATAAAAATTGAATTTACTGTCGACGCGCCGCGCGCGCGCGCCTACACTGGACGGGATACACGGACACATGTAGAGGAAAGGGAGAATGCGGACCGGAAGCACGCAGTCCGTCCGCCTCAGCGACGCGCCGCGACGTCACAAAGGAAGGAAAGGAAAGGCGTCGCACAGTGGGCCAGAAGACCGGTGGAGGCGGCCAAACTTCTAGACGCGTTTTGAGCTCCAGAGTAGCTAAGCAGGACTCGAACCGAACGTGTGACCCCATCAATGGATTCCTCGTTCGGAGAGCAATCCATTGGTGGGGTCACACGTTCGATTCGAGTCCCATCCAGCGACTCTGGAGCTCGAAACACGTCTAGAGCTTTGGCCGCCTGCACCGATCTTCTGGCCCACTGTGCGTCGCCACGGACGACGCTGTCTCTCTCGCACTCGTGGGCCGTCCCGTGGGTGCGCTAGAGACGGAGCGACCAAAACGATTCTCGGAATCTGCTGCGGGCTGAGGCGATAGAGGCCGAACAGCGCTTCGCATTCATCGCCTTGTCCAAACCGACGGGACGCACCGTGAGTGCGAGAGAGACGGAGCGACGGGAAGTGAAGCGGGCGGCGGAGTCAGCCTGCGAAGCCCGGGGTAGGCAATCCCGCAACGCACGCCAGTCGGGCACGCTGCCTACCCTGCGCATTGCAGGCGCTAAGAGCCACGCTACGAGGGCGCAGAGAGCGACAGAGAGAGAGGAGAGATTGAAGAGGAGTAAGACGAAGACTTAGAGAGGAGGATGAGAGAGAGAGAGAGAGAGAGAGAGAGGGGCATGAGAGGGGAGTATAAACGAAAATGAGAAAACTGGGCTGTGGAGAGGGGAGCTGACTAATGCGACAGAGTGCTGAGAGAGGGAGAGAGAGAGAGGAGAGAGAGAGAGAGAGAGAGAGGAGAGAGAGAGAGGGGAGAGGAGGAGGGGGGGGGAGGGAGAGGGCGGGGCGGCCAGGGCCACGGCCAGGGTGGAAGATGTGAGGCTGGCGGATCACGGCACCCCAATTTTGAGCCGAGTGCTGAGTTGCCAGTGCCCTAATAACGGGGACGCGCTGCAGGCATCCGAAGTGTGTGACACTCACTCACTCTCCCCCCTCTCTCTCTCTCTCTCTCTCTCTCTCTCTCTCTCTCATGGGTCGTGTCGGGCACGGTATGATGAGAGGTGCGAGAGGGACAGAGCGACACTGCCCGTCCGTCCGTCCGTTACCAGTGTGACAGCCGGTGTGGCTGTCACACCGCACCGCGCCGCCCGAGCCGAACCGCCGAATCCAAATAAACATATTAATTACGGGACAGCAATCAATAACCGGACGGGAACCAGCAGACTGATTCCGAGAGTCGTTTTCGGCGCTCTGTCTCTCTCGCATCCGAACGGGACGCGCCATGAGTGCGAGAGAGACAGAGCGACGAAAATGACGCTCGGAATCAGTCTGCAGGCTGGGGCTGCTGCTCGTTAGACGGCGCTGTTTTTGTTGTCCGGAGATCGAGTCGCAATCAAGGCCTGCAGATTGAAACGCGCAACGCGCGGGGCAGTCTGTCTCTCTCACTCTCACGGGGAGCGTCCCGCGGGGGAGCGAGAGGGGTAGAGCGACCATGCCTGCTGGTCAGGGCGCCCAGTCTCGGCCACGCCACGGTGCACCGGACCCGGCCGCGCATCCGCGGTGCAGCTTTACAGTGTGATGAATTATCAGCGCCTTCCGAGCTGCGCGAACGGCATGTCCGGTTAGTCGCCAAGACGCACAGTGGGCCAGAAGACCGGTGGAGGCGGACAAAACTCTAGACGCATTTTGAGCTCCAGATTCGCTAAATGGGACTCGAACCGAACGAGTGACCCCACCAATGGATTGATCTCCGAACGAGGAATCCATTGGTGGGGTCACACGTTCGGTTCGAGTCCCCTTTAGCGACTCTGGAGCTCAAAACGCGTCTAGAGTTTTGGCCGCCTACACCGGTCTTCTGGCCCACTGTGAGACGGCCGCGCCGAGCGCAGTGTCTCACTCGCACCCGTTTGGCACGCACCATGAGTGCGACAGAGACGGCGCGACGGAACAGCGACTCTCCGGAATCCGTCCGCCGCGCGTTATCTTTGCACGCCGCGACGCGTCACGGACCGAGTCACGGACCGAGTCACGGGCAGCCGCACCTGTTGCGGAGCGACGCGCTGCAGCGAGTCCAAGCGCTATTCAGCAGACTGATTCCGAGAGTCGTTTTCGTCCGTCTGTCTCTCTCTCGCCCCTATGCGGGACGCCCCATGAGTGCGAAAGAGACAGAGCGACGAAAACGACTCTCGGAAGGCAGTGCGTCCTCGCCCACTTCGTCCTGGTGCATGCGTCCCCTCGGCCCATCCGGGAAGGTCCGCGACAGCCGAAGCGATTCAGAAGATCGCTTTGTCGCTCTGTCTCTCTCGCGCCCTCAAGGAGAGCCCCATGAGTGCGAGAGAGACAGAGCGACGAAAGGACTCTTCTGAATCGGTCGGCAGGACGCGCTCCCTCTGTTGACTGCGCTCGCGCCTACTGCGTGCCATACGACGCCGATGTCCTTGTCTCCCGCAGGCGAACGCCTGATAAGCCTGGACTTCCCTCTCCCTCGCACACTGCATAGCCAGCCACCACACTGCACTCACGTTCTCCTCGACGGTCTTCTTGATCTTGGCGCCGGCCTCGCTGACTTTGGCACCGGCCTTGCTGACGGCCGAGTACAGGAAGCCGCCGAAGGACTTGGCGCCCTGGATGGCCTTGGTGGAGACTGCGGGCAGAGAGACGCGGTCAGGGAAGCCACTTTGGAGCGGCACGGTGCGCTGCGCTGTGCGCTACGCGGCCTCCGCTGCACAGTGGGCCAGAAGGTGGCCAGGGGGCAGGCGGCCAAAACTCCTGACGCGTTTTGAGCTCCAGAGTCGCTAAACAGGACTCCCACTGAGCGTGTGACCCCACCAATGGATTCCTCGTTCGGAATGCAATCCGTTGGTGGGGTCACACGTCCGGTTCGACTCCCATTTAGCGACAGTGGAACTCAAGACCCGTCCGGTATTTTGACCGCCTCCACCGGTCTTCAGACGCACTACGCTGGAGCCGGCCAGGCTTACCTCCGCCGACGGCGCCGTCCTTCTCCAAGTCCTCGGCCTCGTTGTCCGAGATCTCGGCGTTGCTGTCGGCGCCGCCCGTCGCGCTGCGGGCACATCGGCATCGTCAACAAGCAGAAACGAGCGGCGGAAAAACAGGGCGACTTTGGCTCGTTCGTGACCTTGGGCGTGACCTTGGGCGCGACCTTGCCGCCTACCTCGATTCGTCGTCGTCGTCCTTGGCTTCGCCGGGGGAGCCCTTGACGGACTTCTCCGAGGCGGGGGACTCGACGGTGGTGGGCGCGGCGTCCGCGGCCTGGTCGTCGCCACCCTTCCGCAGCCCGGGGATGGAGGGCATGGCGGGCATGGCCGGCATGGCGGGCATGGCCGGCATGGCGGGCATGGAGGGGATGGACGCCGAGCCCAGCCAGCCCGACATCTGACTCTTCACGTTGGACAGCATCTCCAGGCGGCCGCCGGGTTTGGTGGGGCTGCGCAGCCAGAAGCAAACGTTTTTCTCTCGCACAACAGTGTCGGATCCAGAGCCGGCCTTGGGGGGGAAGGAGCGAAGAGGCACTTTTTGCCTGCATACAGGGGCAAAGTATGGCTTTGTGCCTACCTTTCTAGGTGCTTTTTTTTTGGGGGGGGGGGACGCCTCTACCCTTCCTCTGTATCCGTGCCTGTCTGTCACAACCATCATTGTTTTTCCTGCCATTCATAACCACTCCAAGTTTGCTCATTTTGTACCGTGCTTGGTAAACAAATTTTAGCAAATGCACAATAATCTTGTTGTGAGACTCAAATTCAAACCACTTTAGCATTTATCACAAGTTCATGTATTCTATGAATTGACAATGTACATAAGTGGGTGTCAGCCGTCAGCTGATTCTGACATGAGAAAGAAAGGGGCTGAATACTCTTCTTTCCGAACCAGAGTGACCAACTGTCACTTGCCTGGAGGAGTAGACAATGAAGTCCTGAAGAAAAGCAAGACAAGTACCAAGTACCTCTCTCAGGACATCACGCAAGATAACAACTCTCCATAAATGTGAAACAAAAACTTAAGTTTTTTTTTTTTGGTTGAGAATTGAAACGTTTTGTTTGTACAAAAACAAGAAAATGAAGTAAGAAAGAAATTGACTAAACAGAAAAGAAAAAACACTCCATTTATTAAATGAGAAACTACCCATTAAAAGTTGCGAAAGTAAATGTACATGAAGCCAAGGGACAGATAATGTGAATTCTTGATTTATTTCATTGGTGATTTTGTTCAGACTTCTCATTCCGTCAAGCTTGCAATCCTGAGGTAGCAACTGGGACTGAACATAACCTTTGACGTCCAGGTGTGCGACTTATGCCACCACAGAAGAACAAGACTTGAATGAACCAATAACTAAAATAAGCTTGCAACGAGCATGGTAACCAAGTCAAAAGACACATACCTTGCTGCATCCTTGGCAGCCTCAATGTTTTCTGTAGCTGCAGCCAGGTCCTCTGCAGCAGGTTCCACTTTGTCTTCAGGTTTGGCTGCCTCTCCCTCCCCTTTCTTCACCACATTCCCCATCCACCCGCTCATTTGATTCGTCAGCCCCGTGAACATTTTGGCTTATTTGTCGAGACTGTCTGTCCAGAAGAAAAGCACTCGCAGCCCAACTGCTGACAGTGCCAGTCCAAGTCCCAGAGCCAAGTGTCACCACGCGATTCACTCACGTATCTTTCCACTTCATGCCAGAAAGCTGTTCGCCCTTCCCTTTCTGCGACGCAGTCACTAGTCGCGCTGCGATGTCAACGCCAGATTCGCACACGTGAAACGAAATACACACGCGGAAAACGCTACGCTGCGACGCGGGCGCACGCCTTGGCTGAGAGCACGAGAGCAGGGCGATCACTAAATTTTCGCGATCGAAACCATAAACATCAAACCCAAATATTTTGTTTTGGTTTCAGCCAGTAGGTGTCTCTAGCAGACGCTCCTAGTTTCTTCTTTCGTGGGTCTTCTTCCTTTTACAGGCCTTGGGGCAGATAACACCTGACGGGCAACGCGCATTCTAGCCAACACAGAACTCAGAGGCACCATTCATCAATTATTTTAAGACGTTACTCGCATGCTGGACGATAATTGAAACCCAAATTGTGTCGTGTTGATTAATTGGCGGGATAGAATGTAAAAGTTCACCAGAAGTTCTGGCTGCTGACAACGTGTGCAAAGTCCAAAATGATGCACTTCTACCAACAGCATAAAACCGTAGTGGACAAGGCCGATGTCGATTCAAAACCAGCAACACATAAGCATAGAAGAATTTTATGTGTGTCCTACGTAAAATTTTACGTACCGGTATAAAATTTGTGATTTTAAAGCCTGAGATTTTCCCATGTTTATTTTCAGTGCATTGCTCCAGGGTTGTCTGTCTGTTACCGCCACAGCCTCTCCGGGAATGTTATGAATACTTTGTTCAAATTTGGCGTTTTGTGAAAAAAGAAAGCACAGCTCCCAATTAACTTAACATTTGTCTTATCTAGTGTATTGACGTGGAGCTGTCACTTGCTTGGAAACAACACGACAACAGCTCAAAGGTTTTTAAAAGAACTCCGCCATGTCTGTTCAAGATGGGTGCCCTAAGCCGCCTGTTTATACTCCACATTATTTTTTAGGCCGTGAACTATTGGTGGCAATGTCACAATAACACCAAAGGATTGACGCTGTTCGTGTTGATTGAGGATTGTTTCTACCGCTTTTCTTTGTTGGCACCGACAAAAGCGTATTATTTGCTTCCCCTAGAGTAGATGTTGGATACCCTATCATTGTGAGTCCATAATTCATTATTTTTCAACATGCAAATGTATTGTTTGAATAAAACTGTCGCTCTACGTTGCTTTGGTAAGATTCTTATTTATTTGTGTTGCTTCAAACTTGCTGGCCGTTTGCTCATCTTAAGATATTTTGAATTCAATGAAAACATTATGGAAGGTTAGGATCATGTTGGTTTGTTGACCAATCACTACTTATCTGTCATTCTGCCTCAATTTTGTTTTGCTTTCATTTGCCGAAGTGGTGTGACATTTTTTTTGCATATTAGTAATGGTTTTGCAGATGGTGGTTGTTTGTGTGCAGATCATTTTTAACTGTGCGATAGCTCTATTTGATTTTGTAAGATGTTCGGAACTTTGCTGTTTCAGTGGCCTGCTGAAAATGATTGCATAGTCTGCAATTTCTGCATAGTCTAAAATTTCCACTTTCTACTATGGAAGGGGAAGAAAAATCTCAAGCTGATGGCACAAGCAGTCCATCAGATACTGATACTGCAACAAGAGATCCTTCACTGTTGCCACCAACTGCAACTGCCGTCAGTTGTACTTCTAGTCCCAAGTCTGTTGATGGTCCCGCACCATCCGTGGAGAGTTCCAAACCGACTGCCATTTCAACTGATGATCCTAAAAGCGAGTGTGATAAAAATGAATCTAACAGTGAAAAGCTCAACAAGTGTCCTAAAACATCTGAAACAGATGCCTCATTGACTGATGTAGTAGTTGTATCAGAAGGAGCTGGTAACAAGAAAGACCAAGAATCATTAGCCGAGAGCTTGTCTGAGTGTAGTGATAATCCAAAGACTGACTCTGAGACTGACATGATACCACAGACTGTGAATCCTCCTATGAATGAAGCTCAAGACAATGCACCCTGTCCAGATTCTGACAAAAACTCTCCAGAAAAGGGGGAAACATCATCTCAAACGCATGCTGCTCAGTTGATAAAAGAAAATTCCAAAGAAGACAAGGAGCCTAGAGACACCTCAGATGGACCTACTCCAGAAACCCAACCAAGCAATTGCTCTGACAAAATGTCTGAAAGTATTAGTGACAAAAATGAAATAAATGATGAAGTGGCAAAGTCAGCCCTACAAGGGGCTGATCTGGAATCACATGATGAAGCAGATGTTGAATCCCATGAAGAAGGCCAGTCTCAGACTGCAGATATGTCAGTCATTCAAAGTGAAAAAACAAATTCTAGTAAATCGCAGTCTGGAGAAACAAGTGAAATTGTCACTGTTGATGAGTCCTCTAACTTAAGTTCTGAGACAGTTCCCTCTATGGCACATGCTGACCTCGATCAAGTTAATGTTGAGGAGTCCATGGACACAACACCTCCATGTGAAGACAGTGACCCATTTTCATGTTCAAAAGACATAGACAAGCATGAAGATGCTTCAATGGAAGTTGATCCTGAGCCTAATTCTGTTTCAGCCCCTGCCCTGCCACAGAAAGATGTGTTAGAGGAGAGTTCTATCTCTGATACTGCTACCAAGTCATCCAGTGATAAACCAACCACCGAAGTGGAGGCAAATAATGCAGGGACTATAGAAGTTAATACTGAAAATCTTACAGAGAATGAAGATCAGAGAAGCACAGGAGAATGTGATGATTTGATGGACGTTGATAAAAATAACACCAAAACTTCGGAAGCTCATACTGAGAATTTCACCGGAATTGAAGAACAGAAAAGTGCAGAAAGATGTGATGATGCGATGGATGTCGATGATAGCTCTTTAAGGAGCAAAGGCACCGATCCTACTGTCTCAGATGAAGTGAATAATGATCCTAGTGTTTTGCGTGAGGACATTGAAGACACTGAAGACAATTCTAATGATGTACAGACTCACTCTGGAAAAGACAACGCAAGTCCTGAACCAGATCAAACTATAATTGGTGACAAGATGGGTGAGGAGGAGTGTATATCTGATACAATTTCTAAAGGAGTATCTGTAAATGCTGAAACTTCTCAGACCTCAGAAGAAACTTCCTCCGAAGAGCTCATAAGTTCATTAGCTAGTCAACAAGAGATGCCTGAGTCCCAAAGTGACAGTTCTACTGCGGCCCAGAAAGATTCCTCCACCGAGAAAAGTTCCCATGACCAAGGAGATTCCAAGCTTGATGTTCCCGAAAATACTGAAACAGGTGCTGCAAACAAGCACAAAGTTGGTATTCATCTTGTATCTACATCCTCCCTAGTTTCAAGAAAAGATGATGTGGACAAGGTTAGACGTAACTAACTTGCTCTTTTGTTCGTTTCTATTCAGAAATTGTATGCTAATTGTCATAATTACTTTATCTTCACTCAGGATACAGAAAATGATGTCCTGGAGAGCGCCAAGGCAAGTGATGCAAATGACCCTTCAGAAGACAGCCCGGATGAAAATTGTGCAGAATGTGGCAAGGTTAGTTAGTTGCTGGTGTTAGCAACTCACAATGACATTAATGTGTGTATTTATGTACTCCCTTAATGCATAATATCTCATGTGCGTCTCCCTTTTTGTACAGATGTCCAAGTGTAAATATAAGATTCGAAAAGAAATGGGACATGTTTATCTGTGTGAAGATGACTGTTACACAAAATATAGAAAAGCAAATGATTCGCCTCGCCCAAAAGTTCTCAGAGCCCGCAAATTAGACCAAGGATATGAGCACAAATGTGGGCACTGTTCTAAAAATGTTGATATGAAATTAGAGAAGACCTTGACCTGGGAAACCATGGATTTTTGTAATGAAGAATGTTTAGGTATGGCCTTTCCACATGTTTCCTTTCATTAAAGTACTTCCTCTCTGAAATATGTGCCTTGAAATGACTGATGGTTTATTACAGAAAAATGTCAAAGAACTCATGGCTCCAATTGTGCAAATTGTAAAGCATATGTTCAGGCTGCAAGTTTAGGGAAGTATTGTGTTAGATTTGGCTATGACATGAAACAGTTTTGTTCTGCGCCCTGCTTGGAAGATTTCAAGAAGGGTCTTAAAGTTTGTTCCTACTGCCAGAAAGATATTTCACGGGGAGAAGGTTTCTTGGCTCCTGTTGGTGACAAGGGAGCTTTCAAGGTTTTTATATGGACTCTCATTATATTTTGTAAATACTAAATCATGTGGATGAAAAAAATGATTGCCTAACTGATATTTATTGCATGGTTTGTAGGACTTCTGTGTACAAGATTGTATGGAAAAATATGAACAGATGAGTAACAACACAGTCCCCCCAGAAGTGACTCAGGAATGTGCTGTCTGTAATGAAGTAAAAGCTGTGAAAGTTCAAGTCTTATTGGACTCAAAATGGCATAAACTTTGCAGTGACCCTTGCTTTGCTGCCTTCAAGTTTGTGAATGATATTGTAGCTGGTCAGTTTCTCTCATGTCTGTATTGACTTATTTTATATGGTGACAGATAGATGGTTTTCATTTGATTACCTATTTCAGATAAGTGTGACATGTGCAAAAAGTATTATGACCGAGACCGCTCAGAAAATTTTTCTGTATTTTATGATGAAGCACCTCATAGCTTCTGTTGCAAAACTTGTATGAATGTGTATATTTTGGCAAAGCGCAAAATTGTCCCTTGTTCGTGGTGCAAGGTAATCTGTTTAGAATGTCTTGGCAGGATTGTTTAATTTTCTGTGATTTCATACTAACAATCAATTGTAACTTTTCAGGTCAAAAAATATAATTTTGACATGATCAAGAGAGTTTCTGGAGGTCAGAATGTTCTTATGATGTGCTCACTTCATTGTTTAGAATTATACCAAGCTTCACCAAATACTGCAGCTGCCACCTCAAAACAGTAAGAAATCAGTCTTGCACCCTCTTAACTCTTCATCAACTTATCTTTTGTTTGGTAATATATTTGACCTGTGTTTTGTGTGTTTGGCTTTCAGGGGTAAGTGTGAAATCTGCTGGTGATCTTTGAGACTTCAGTCAAAAGTCCATATTCCTTGGATGTATTGTGTTTGAATTAAAACAAAAAAAAAAACAAAAAAACAGTAGGTTTACAACCTGTGGTGTAGCTATAATATCAATAAGATTTCTGTGGAGGTAGGAAATACGTAGACATTTGTATAGTTGATGCAGTGTCATGATACCTGCCTCTGAGCTAGGCTTCCAAACCTTATGATATTTTCTTTTGAAGCACTTTATCCTTCTTTCCATGAGTTATGTTTTAGCCTGCACAATCAATATTCTTTCAGCGCTGCCCAGGAAAATAACCGTCAAAAGGGGAGGTTTGGTGGCTGCTACCAATATTGATAAAGATAAGAGTAAGTCCACCACACAATTGTTATTCTGTGTGTAAATTTACTATAAAGGGATGTATTAATTTGATGGCTTAAATCTTAGATACATCTCGTTCTATGCCTGTAATATCCTCCGTGACATCTTTGGCTCCTAGTGTTGGCCAACTACAACCAGCATCTTCTGATCCACCTGCGCCACCGACACCTGTGGCTCCAATACTTTCATCAGTAGCAAAAAAGGTATGTTCCTCTGATTTGAGTTGGGACTTTTTATTATTTTAATATTAATGTGTCTGATCTTAACCTTTTATTTACATCTGCTTCTTGTTCAGAGCGCGCCATCATCAGACACTGTTAAAACTGTGTTCAAGCAGCAATTCATCCTTCGGCCACCTCCCCATCCTGAAATGAGTAACTGTGCTGTTCAGGTAAAGCCAATGTCTGTGACTAAAAGTGTTTCATGTCAACCTGAAGTTTGTGAAGTCGCAACTCAAACAGGTATGTTATTTATCTTAAATATGATAAATCTATTAAATGAACTGGTCTATTAATTTTTTTATTTACTTCTCCCTCTCTCTTTTTTCTTTCCTCAGATGATTCATCGCATCAGCCTGTTTTGATCCCTGTTCCTGTTCCAATTTACATTCCAATGCCCATGCACATGTATACTATCCCTTATCCTGTTCCTGTTCCAATACCCCTTCCGATTCCAGTGCCTTTCTTCATTCCAACCACAAAAAACTCTGCGAAAGGAATCCTTCAGGAAATCAAAGTATGCTCAATGTTACTTTCATATTTTTTATGATACTGTATCTGCAAGGCTTTTCCTCATGGGATTAATATTTGTTTTTGGTTTGGTTTAGCGTATTCAAGAAAATGTTCCTTCAGACCCTTTTGAAGCAGAATTATTAATGATGGCTGAAATGGTAGCTGGGGAGAAAAAGGGTGAAAATACTGAGACAGAGAGTGAAGATGGTGCTAATGATGCTGATGACACAAATGCTAATGATGCAGGTCTGTTTCTTTTCTCCTAATGTATGTTATCACTTGCTAGTCACATTGTCATTCTTTCTTGACTGATGATTTTTGGAACAGGCAATGCATCTGAACCAGACTATAGTCCTGAACACCAGGATGCCATTGGTGATGATGTATTGCAAATGGCCCTTAAAATGGCCTCGGACTTCGATGAGCCGGCGCCTGGCTTCGTGGGTACTGTAGCACCAACATCTGTTTCACAATCTAAACCGTCTCAGGCTGTAGATACTAAAGATGGTAAGACTGTATCCTTAGTCACTGAAATAATGACGTATTCATTTTGTATTATTTGCTGTTTGTGATAATTTTGTATCCTGTCTAGAATCTGAAGGAGAAGACATTGAAGTAGAGCGTATAACTAGATCTGGGAAGAAGGCAGTGAAACGATCCAGTTCAAGATCATCCAGTGTCAGTTCAAAGCGCATGCGATTACCAAGTGCCTCAGATCAACAAGTCCAGCCAGTCCATGATTCGAAAGCATTCATAAAAGGGGAATCTGTTGAGAAACCTGATGCTAATATGTGTTTAAAAGTATGGTTCATCATTATGAGATTTTAATACCAAATGAATAACCCAAAAGATTAAACATCATGGTTCTAACATTTTGCTTGTTTTATTTCGTAGTTTTCATTAGGTGTTAATGCCTGGAAAAATTGGGTCATTCAAAAGAATGCTGAGCTTGAAAAGTCACCGTCTAAAAAAGCCAAAGTTTTTAAAACTGAACTTCTTCAACTTACATCAGATGAGCTCAATTATTCTCTTTGTCTATTTGTCTGTGAGGTATGCAACATCTATGCAGCATGGATAAACTAACTTATAGTAAAATTTATTATTTATTGTTTTGCATTTTGTCTATTTTAGGCACAAGATCCAAACAGTCGTCCATATCCTCCTGATACCTTGTATTATCTTTGCCTCGGCATTCAACAATACTTAATGGAGAATGGTCGAGTAGACAATATCTTTTGTGATCCATATTATGAAAAGTTTACTGACTGTTTAGATGATGCTGTCAAAAGATTCTCTCCTATCCAACCTAATTCAGGTAATATTCTTCTTAACAAGTTGCTTTTTTTCATAGGTTTTTGTTTTAAAGTTATTTTTTTTCTGTTTCGTTCTGTTGCCCTGCAGAACAAATTGTGACAAGAATTCAAGAAGAGCATTTATGGGAGAGCAAACAACTTGGAGCCTACTCTCCATTTGTATTACTCAATACTTTAATGTATTTTAACACAAAGCATTTCAATCTAATGGTAAGTGTTGGCTTTGTACTAATTGTGTACATACTAATATGTAAAAGTGTGTTAACTGTCAGTGTCTGTTTTTGTTATTTGAGCTGGAACTGTTTTGTATCTTCTATCTTTCTTACTTCTAGACAGTTGAGGAGCACATGCAGTTGTCCTTTTCTCACATAATGAAACATTGGAAGAGAAATGCTACCTCCCCCAATACTAAGGCTGTAGGAGTTAAGAGCAACAATGTTCTTTTGAGATTTTACCCCCCACCATCAGCATTAGGTACAAACTCAATCAAGCAGCATGAATTTATGTTAAAGTTGCTAAAATTGTATGATTACTTTCATTTCCCTTTGCAGCTGCTAATTCTAAAAAGAAAAAGGTGTATGAACAGCAAGAAGATGAAACTAATCCATTGAGATGTCCTGTGAAACTCTATGAATTCTATTTATCCAAATGGTCAGTGTGCCTTGAAACTTGAAAATTCTTTCTCTCTCAATTGAATGAATTACTGTACATTTATGAATCTCACATAATTTTCTTTTATTTCTTTTCAGTCCTGAAAGTGTAAAAACACGGAATGATGTCTTTTATCTTGTTCCTGAAAGATCTTGTGTACCTGACAGCCCTGTGTGGTACTCAACTATGTCCCTTGGTAATGAGTATTTGCAGAAGATGTTGAATCGAATCATGGTGGTCAGGGAAATTGTTGATATTTAGATCTCTGTTTCATTACGAACTTGTTTTTATTTTTTTAAATGAGTAGAATCAACTGTGCTCACTTCTGTTTCACTTGACTTTCATTTGATCTGGGCCATTTACAAATCCTCAAAATGGTTATCTACCAACCTGTGCTCTCTCCTTATTGTTTTAGTTTTGAGGGGCATGATGTATTGTGTCTTCCTAGATGCAGGTGTACTCAACTACGTATGTGGTGACACAAAAGACATGGTTTTTTTATGTTCCTCTGTGTATCCAAGGTATAATAACCCAAGTGATGTCATTTACTTCTTAACAATGATTTTGAAAACCTGCTTTGTCTTCTTTTTTTTCTTTTTTGTGGGTTTTATCACATTGGTGAATGTACCTTAGTCTTTTGTAGTGAATGTATTTGAATTGTTTAGGTATTTGTTGACAAGTTTTGAACATTTTGTCATTATCTCCAGTTTAACTTACTGTGATCCTCCTGTTATGGCTTTTAGTGACCTTTAGAGTTGTTGTATTTTAATGAGTGCAAAATAGTCGCCTTCCATTCCTCCCTTTCTGCTAGATTATATTATATCACCACATCACATGTGTAGGTGTAGGTTGAAAGATTGTTCGGATAGTAACAAATTTAAAGGGAATGGCTTAAAATGTGATGCAATGAAACCTCTGAAGCACATAATGTTAGTTTCATTGCAGGGTGAACAAGATGTTCATTTAACATCTCACCTAGACTGTGATTGCCAGCCAAGCACATAATCAATGTTTCTTTTACTTGTATTGATGTAATTTGAATGTTGCATCTATTTTAGTTTTTATGTGCATTTTATTTTTTGTGGCACTGTTTCTGGTTTTGTGACCAAGTCATGAATTGCAAATGAAAATCTCTTGGATGTTATTATTGGAATGAATGCTGTGAATGTGAGTGAAAGACAAGAACTGATTTGGTGTCATCTTAATTCTTGGTTAGGGACTGTTGAGAATTGAAGTCTGGTATGACTGGATATTGAGTAATAATAAAGTAACTTATCACCAGAAGAAAAATAGTGTCATCATTAGAAGTAAAAATTGTAGCCCCATACAACACAGAAAAATTTGTTCTTTCCAGTCATTAAAAAAATTATTAAAAAAGCAAAACACACAACTAGTTTTGAACAAAGCTTCTACTTTAATTAAACAAAGAATATTGTACAAAGAAAACCATAGGCTATGGCATACTGCCGATTGTTTTAATTGATTCGTCTTCTGTGCTTCTGTTCATGTTCCTCCACATCCTCTTTTATCTCAGACAAAATTTCATTGATTTCCTCCTCGGGTAATGTTTCCCTAAAACAAATTTTAAAAGACAGGTTATTATCAGGGTACCACATGAAGGTACAAAAGAGTCTCCTGCAAGGGTTTGACTTGCCTGTAAGTCTTCATCATGTCATATTTTTCCCATGGTTTGCGAAGTTGAATACGTCTCCTATTCATTTTGTTTGTTATTTGATCCTCAATATTATCAATACCTTTGAAATCATACTTGTACCAGTTTTCAGTCCACGGCCGAGGATTCAGTTTCACCTGAATACAAAATTGAATCATGATTCAAGCAAGACAGTAGACAGTGACAAAAATAAATGTTAGAAGATCACAAACCTTGATACGATTTAGAGGCACATCATCAGTTCTTCTTATCTCAGGTTTCATGTCAAGAGGGAAAGTGCTGAATTCATGAGGGGCATCCCTCAAATAACGTAGATGGGTATCTAATCGCTTTTCAAGGCGTAGCACTTCTATTTTAAGAAGCCTTGGGTCATACAATTCAATTTTTACCTCGACTCCTACAACAAAATGAGAGAGTCAATAGCCTTTGCACAAATAAGTTTAGTTGCAGGAGACTGATTGCAAACACACCTAGATTATCAATAACATTTCGAAGAATAAAATTGGCTTTCAGACCACATTCATTTCTTTGAATGCAAATCCCAACAAATGTTGATGTCTTGTCAGCCTGATGAAAATTGGAGAGAGAAACTCTCAAGACAGACCCTAAGACAAACCAATAAATTTTTAAGAATAGACTACAGACGAGAGTATACAATCATGGAGAGAACTACTACAGACCAACATAAAATTCAGGAATATAAATTCGGCTTCGCCTTGCCAACATATCTTTTCGTTCCAACTTCTCTTTGATTGGGTTTCGCCAAATCATATGTGGCTCAGGAAACATTTCTGGATATTTAAATCTAAATGGTAAAGATGGAACTTAGTAAACAATAAACTCTAGATCAATACGTCCAAAGTAATGAATTAGTGTACCTTAGCTCCACACCAGATCTTGAGACCTTTCCTTGTTCATAGCTAGGCACTTGTGTTGACTTTCCCCTTTTTTTGGAACTTTCTTTTTCAACAGAATTGTCAGTTGTTGATTCACTACTCGATGATTTTGGCATCATTGAAATGTGGCTCGTATTAAGTCCTCTACAACCTATTTCAAAATAATATTGATTAAAAATTGACAAGGAGACACTACTCTCAATGAATAAATACAACACCATACGAAATAATACTTATAAAAGTAACAAATGGAATAGATTAAGTATCAGCATTATTAAACAGCAGTTTGCCCAGAACATACCAATAGTCCTCATGGTCTTGCCTCCCAACCGAGAAGTAAGACACAAACGACTTAAGCAGGAAGCCATTTTTCTCAGTAGGAGATAGACGATCGGACTTCCAAATTCTTAAAACCGTTCCATTCAAAAAGTTCTAAAATCAAAGTGGACACAAAGCAGAACAAAATAATGTGTGTGATTCCTAACCTCAATGTGAAGTATGAGAAATTCAATCATTAGGAATCTGGATGAGAAATAATGAGAGATCGTCCCATTCTATGATGTTTTATTATTATTAATATTACAACCTTACAGTATAACAATAGACAAGTGTCAAATATCAATTCAATAACCGACCAAAGCTCTGCTCTCAAACACCACAATGGTTAACAACACTAAAAAAATATTCTCTTAAAACAATGTAAAAATACATGAATTTCACTACGATGATAAATGAGATAAAACTAGATGTTCGGTTTTCTGTTCACAGAAGAAGATAAACAACAAAAAGACAATAACAACAACATTTTTTGCACGAACCCTGAACAGTCGGCACAATGGAAATTAATGACCTGTGTGACAGTAAAAGCTAAAGGATACAAATAACACATAATACTGAGTTTATTGCACTCAAATTAACACAAAACAAAGTGTGCTGGTATATCCAAAATCTAAACTGCTACATAAAGCAGCTCATTATTAATGACGGCCAGATTGCTTGATTAATAAATGGACAATAGAAATCATTACATGCCACTTATAGAAGAGATACAAGTGTCTTTCTTGGCTTTGTCTCTTAAGGGCTTTGAGTAAAGAAAGAAAGGTCATTGAAAATGAACATAAATTAAGATAGGCTTCACATAGAAAATAAGGAAAATGAACTGTGACCCCTTCAACAAAAATTTTCTCCCGCCATACACTTGCCTAGTTTGGCACTCTCTACATGTAACATGTACTATCCATAAGATGAGAAAAGGAGTGACCCAGTCTTTATCCTGAACACCGACTAAGTCAAGAGTCAGTGTTGCAGGCTTTTGTGCGCTCAGAAGTAAAGGGTCAATGCTTTTGAGGGGAATAGTGAGTACACAATGTGCTGATTCTCTGAGAGAAAACTTATTTGCCATGCTCACAACTCTGATCAATACAAAATTTAAAAAAATACAACATTGTTGTCCATTCATAAACCTAAAGCATAACTTTCATTATCGTTATTCTAGCATTGTATGGAAAAAAATATTTCAATGGAACCAAATAATTGATTGAAAATTAAATAGAGCATGCCTATTGAAACTTGAAACATGCCTCACTCAAAAGCCAAACTAAAACATTCTGAGATCAGCCATGGCAACTCAAGAAGAAAATGCTGTACTGACACTGACAGATCCCATGGAGAACAGGCAATCAAACCAAGTCAAAATCATGTCAAAGCCTTTCATTTTGCCTCATATTAATGGGCATTTAGATCACCTCAACTAGTTGAACCTGCAGAGTAAACCAGGAAAGCAGTAGAAAGACCATTGTTTCTAAGGGCTGAAACAGAGAGCTAATTACCCAATATCAAACGCCTATAGGCAAAAATAAAAGATAAAAAGGAGGGAATGAAATATATCACATAAATGCCTACAATATAGTATACAACATACACTTTAAGTTCTTAATTTTTTAGAACATAAGGGAAACATGCATTTGTAATATTAATATACATATATTTCCATATTAAGCTATGAATTAGAGTATAGTGATTATTTTGCACTGCTATCATAGTTATTAAAGCACTGCTCAGTCAAATAAATAACATTTAAAAAGGGCATCAACCACTTTAATTTAATGCGGCGTTGTTAAATTTTCAGTCACCCATCATCTTTTGATTTGCCACAATGCACAAAAAGGTCACACATTTATGTGCTTACAGTGTAACAATGCACATTTTGTGCACATTATGCACATCATATTCACATAAAATGTATTACCTCTAAGCGCATTTTAATGCACATTAAACATCAAATGTGCACTGTGCTTTCAGGGTAGCAAACATTGATCAGTATGTGAATCAGTCAACAAAATTAGTTCATTTCACTGTCATGGAGAAGAGAAAAATATGGGTGGGAATACAATCGCATGACATGAGCGTTGCTACTAAACTCCAAACAATCAGAAACTATACGTTGACAGTACGGGTACCATGTCAACATCTCATTTGAGAATCCTACATTGATAAAAATACAATACAAATTTTACCAAGAAAACAAACAAATAATTATGGTACAGAACTAATCTCTCAAATATTTTTTTCTGTTTTTCAAAAGGGTAAAGAGCCTTTTTTGTTTTGTTTTTTCCTAACCCACACGGACTTTGCTTCTAGTTATCATTTTTAAAAAACATGAGAGCTAACAGGAGGGAATCAGTAGCCATTTATCTATAGGAATAGGGACGGTACTAGAAAAAAATTACAGCAAAAGTACACCAAAGCAAGACACTAAATAAGGCTCAAAATTTCTGAAAGACAGTTTTGGCGTAATGCAGTTGGGACAGATTCCAGGACGGATATCTTGACAAACTTGGTCATAAAAATGGCAATCATGGAAGAAGACAAAAACTGCACGAAATATAATTCAAATTGGGCAAAAGAGCCTTCCTTTTCAAAAGAATAAAACAATGAATTGTGTTTGACGAATCCAGAGACAAAAGCATTGAAAATAATTCATGCTTTGTATGCAAAAGTCCTCTGATTAAATTTCATTTGACAACCTAAGGTAGGAAGCTTGCAATAACCAGAGTGGGGATTAAAAATACAGCAGAATCCAGTCAGCAAACCCATTCATATGATCTTGACGAAAGGCCCAATTCAATTATTACTTTGTAGAGCTCATAAGAAAGACTTCATAAAAAGTAAGGTAAGACTAAAAGCGAACCAAAATAAATGTCAATATAAATGCCTCCCCATACACCATATAAGAGTGCTTATATAATTGTATACGTATGTATATGTAAAGATATATTTATAGGTATTGCTCTTTTCCTCTCTAGTTCCCAAAACTACAGTACTAATTGATCTGAGTTTTAAGATATAGATTTTGGCACATTCACAAATATTAGAGAGAGATATTGCAGAATTTAATTAAGAGAGAAGGAAAATCCAACAACTACTCCTGGCGAGTGGCAGAGTGTGTGGCCAGAAGAGAGGAAGGCAGGGAGCCAGGCCCCACTAAGGCGGTGTTGTCCAGGATGTACCAGCGGTGTCAAGGTACTCGCGGCGCTCGGGATTTACAGGAGTTCGTGGGTCCTGGACTGAATCTCTTACTGAAGGTCTTGAGGCCTGCCTATCTGACACACCTGTAAAACGTACCTGTACCTCAATTCAGGGGAGTTTGAGCCCAACGCACTCAAAGAAAAGCCCTCTTTTTTCTGGATTAAAACCAAGGGCTCACTAACATAGAAAGTTTGCAATGAACACTATTTCTGTTTCGCATAAACAACTGCATGTATGAGGGCAGATGACCCATCTTAAATTGAATTAAGATGGGATTCCTAAGCAATATGCATTCCTATGTATAACTTTTCTACCTCATGCCATTTAGGCGATACAGAATTAATGCTGATTCAAGCGTAATGGTAGAGCGCCCTGACAAAAACACCTCTGATACACGCAATACAATCAATAGTCCAATGAATTAATTCATATTACAGTTAAAACCACACCTCCTGTTAATAAATAACAAAAATCAAGAAATCAATATTGAGCCACAATTATACTCATCAGTCACCACAACTTAACTTTTAAATGCAAAGTCAAAATGACAATTATAAATGCACCGATTTGATAAAGGATTTGTTCTGTTTACAGCCTACCCAACATATTAGGAAAACACATAATCACAAATCATCATCTCCAATTCCATCAAATGCATCATTTTCAACTGGAGCAGTATGGTGAGAAATGGCACTTGTATAATTCTTGGATGCTGACTTCAGATTAACATTGGTGAACTTTTCTGACAAACGTTTCATAGAGGAGGAGGCTTCTGGCTTGGTTGGAGAAAGCATGTCGACATTCTAAAGTAGAAAGAAGACAAAAGTCCATTTTTATTTTAGGTTTCTTTTTTTTTTGTTTTTTTTTTCCAAGTTTTTAATGACACATGAACTCAGGTGGGAAACATGCACTGTTCTTTAACAATATACTTACATTGCTACCACTTTGACTTCCACTGCTCAGAGAAGATGAGAATCCATCACTTGATGAGGACTGGCTTGAGCTCAATACTTGACTGCTACCATCTCTCTTCATGTACGACCAGTTGGGTTTTGGAGTAAGTTCCCCTGGCTGAAAAAATAATTCAATTTAATGTGAAGGACTCCAATTAACATCCCCCTCTGTCAATAAAAAAAATTAGATCCTCACCATTTTTCTTTTGATGCCATTTTTTTTCAAAAGAAGTTCATCTACCATCGATTGTAGACATATTGACATGAGAATGGCCTGCTCACTTGATATGGTAATCCACATCAATTTGTCTTTGGCAACAAGATATTCAAATGATAACTCAAAGTCAGGACCACTTTTGTTTCCATTTTCACCATTCTGAATGGAAATGGGCCAGAATATTAGAACAATATACAAGTTGTTTTTTTTTTTAAACAAAATCATGACTCAAAAATGGCAAACCCACATCATGCAAAGTTGTTATTCTCCAGCAACGCATACGAGTAACTTTGAACACTCCACCACCGCTTGAGCTTGGTGACTGACAGCTTCCTGTCTGCAAACGAATACTGAGCTCATAATTTCCAATGGAAACCAGAACTGGGGCACCAGGAAAAGGGTAGTCTGCCACACATGGAGTAAATTGCATGTAGCCGTAGTACTTCAATGCTCGAACATTTTCCATGTACTGAGAAGAGAAATTCAAATGAAACAACACACTTAAACATCTCGACAAATTTCAAAGAAATACGAAATTGACCTCTACCTCTCTCTTTGATCCCTTTGCTTGTAGTGAAGCCAGTCTCTGACGCATATCTTCACTACACACCATCCAACCACATTCAACTTCAGTAACAGCTTGTACATACAGCAAATTCAACGCAACACGATCTGTTACCAGCTCAATATCATAGGCAGGGTCCCAATAGCTGCAAGTAATCAGTTTCGTATCAGTGGTATTTGTTTTCTGCTTAAAGTGGCCACTCTATGCATTTCAACTGAATCAGTTTTACTCACTTTTTTCTCAGAACTATTTTGTGAGCTCCACCAAGAGACCTCTGACTAATAAAGGGAGATTCAAAATCTTGAAGTTTGCGCACAACTAGAAAAAACAATAAAAATAAATCAGATAAGATTATTTAAAAGAAGAAAAGAACAGAAATGTTTCTTACTTGTAAAATTGCCATTGTCTTCATCCTTCACTAAGAAAAGGTAAAAATAATACACATATGGGTCTGGCAAGGCAATCTGACGGCATACTTTCTGAAAATAATGAACAGAAAAAGGAGTGCATATAATTTGAGCTTCATGGTTAAACAAAGCTTTGAAATATTCTGTTATGGGGACTAATAATCACCTCCAACACTTGATGTGAGCGTTCTGTAGACTGAACAGTGATGGTAATCTGATATCCGTTCATAAGGAACACATCTAGAGGACATTCCTGGTTTTTTTCAGAGCTGGTTTCCACTTGAGCTGACAATAGGAAGCTATTCACAATTTCCGATGACACTAGCTCAGGATGTTGTCCAACTGTGAAGCCAAAGTTGTAAAAATGGTACTTGTAAATACATTGTAGTGATATGACGAGATTTGTCACTAAACAAAGAAAACAGACCTTTCTGAATAAACTTTTCAAGAAGAGAACGCCTTTCTTCGAGTTGATTCGCTGATAAGGGAAGAAACTTTTTTGGTGGAAAGTATGGAAGAGCTGCTGCACCATATTCTTTCTTGAGCTGCTCATTAAGATTATGTAGTTGACGATATCTCACAGTGCAGTGAAATTTTCCATTGATATATATATGATAGCCCTGTAACACAAACAGTGCAGAGAAGAACATCACAAAATGTTTCATGGAGAATACCATACTTGGTTTGCTTCAGGACTCTGACATACAGACACTTTAAGGTCGAGAGACTACAGAAAGAAAGCATCTGATAACGATAGAGCTCGTAGAAGAAACCCCTTTATATTCACTTAGAAAGTAAAGTGCCGAAAAGGGATAAAAGGCAGGGGAAACAAAAACAAAAGGTGTATGTAATGTAATTTTTACCGTGTAAGATGATCCGCTGTCATCGGTGAAATCTTGAGTTTCGGGTATGGAGAAATGCATGATTTGGGAAAGAAGGCGATATCAACCAGCTCGATGGTGGTTTGAGTATACTCCAGCTGGGAAAGTAACCACTTTACCAAAACAAATTAACTATTTGCCACCATGTTGTTTACCTCCCAGCTTCCAGCTTCAGCTGCTTCAGCTTCAGCTTCCCCCACTCACGCCCGCCCACACTCCGTCTGCTATTCGCACGTGGAAACTGCAAGTAACGTGACTGCGTATAGTCAGTCAAAACACAAATCCAGATGGGACGAAAACAAATCGAGCAGGAGCAGATGTAAATCGTTGCCGCAAGCCCCAACGTGATGTATGTTTTTAATAGGATTTTTGGGATTGTACCCGGGGAAAAAGAGGATTCTACGTTCATTATTGATATTATTTAATTTTTTGCAGGTGATTCTAACCTGATTCTGGAGTGCACTGTAGGGGTGGTGGCGGTGGTCGTCGTCGTCGTGGTCGTGGTTGACATTTGACGACAAAGTGACACTTTGACCAAAAGCAGCTTCGCGGTCTCATGTTTTAACTGTCAAGTTTGAGGTTCCTTAGATTACCGTCATGGCCCCAATTCTTGTTCACGGAACTATTGTTCCTGAACTGGATGATTCTGTCAGGTAAGTCTCCAACACACCATCATGTGACAACCCTTCTCAAGATTCTGCAGTTAATTTGTTTTTTTCTTTTTGTCCTCCAGTCCTATGGCTGCCAATATGGTGGGATCAATGATGATGCGAGGATTAGCATGCCCGTTCACATGGGACAATATGATGGTTTTTGATGACGACGATGACATAAATTGCATGATTGATCGATTGCCATTAGCTGTTAGTTCATGGGATAGTATTATTCAGAAATGCCACATAGCATTTTGTGAGTTCCAGCGAGGCAATGTTCCAAAAAGTTCATGTTTTATCTCAGAATGTTTCATTCCATTATTGGAAGTACCAGGTTTAGAAACTTCCTGTGAGCTAACTAAAACTTACAGGTAATTAAATGTTGAAAAAGACAACTTAGCCTTCTAAGTAAACCTAATCAACTGACTCTGCTTTTTCAACCTTTGCCTGTTGCAAACTGTTGAGTAACCCAACACCTTTCTCTTTTCAGGCAGGGTTTGAAACATGTTCTTGATGCAACTTCAGCTTTTATTCGGCTCCATGATGCTCATGAGGACATGTCACGCAGAAACCTCTTCAATTTTGTGGCAAGCATACCATCAGTGGATTCTATGGATGAAAAACAAAAAGCAGCTATTAATGCCATTCGTTGTAAATTGTCTGCATATCCAAGTAAATTAATATTTCTTTTACAATGGTATGTCTTATAATCTAGCTCCGGCCTGTTGTGTATTTATTCTTTTTTGTTTCAGACAACAAGCTTTACGCACGAGCAGCAATTGCACTTGATCCCAATGAGGGCCAGTGGCACTTTTATCTTTCCAAAGTGATCTATGATGCTGAACAATTACCAGATCATAATTGTATGAAAGAAGGACATGAAGCACCAGATATGGCTGACCTCCTAAATCACAACAAGGTTGCTTTGTTTTCGGCCAGGAAGAGTCCTGAACCATTCTTACTTATGGCACATTTAATTCTAACATATGGTCATCCTAGCACTCCACAAGTAGAAAAAGCCAATGAATGTATTAAGTAAGTGTGTCCCATTTTGAAACTGTTACATTAATTTTAAATAATTTTCTAACCTTTTTTTTCTTTTACTTTCTTTCTTTTTTTTTTTTTTTTTTGTATTTCTAAATAATTTTGCAGGAAAGCACTTGACCAATTCCCTAATAGCCCCTTTGTACATGAACAAGCTGCAGAGATTGTTGTTAAGTCTACTCCTCTAATAGGACTTTATGTGATGTCAAACTTAAAGAAAATTGAACTTCACTACAAGGAAGCTATTAGGCTTGCAGGAAAGGATATCCTATCTATTAGGCATAGACTAGGATTAAACCAGGTGCTAGGTGCAGGACAGCTTCGGGTACACCATGAGGCACTGCTACTGCGGGCTGAAGGCATGGAGAATTTATCAAAAGCTAGGCATCTGACTGCAGAAGCTCGAATTCACTATGAGTTAGCAAAGGCAGATAATCTGAATTTCAGTGCACTAAGCATATGTTCTCCTTTTATGTTTACTTTTCCTGATGATGATGATGATGATTATGAATTAGTATCTTGTCCTGGCGCCTCATCCTCCAAAGGAAACAAAAAGTCGAAGAAAGGGCGCAGAAGAAGAAAGTAGTTCTGCATGGAATCCCAAATAACTAGCAACACTGAGAATCCAAATGCTATGAATATTGCATTAATTGGTGCAATGCCTTCCCATTCTCATGCATTTGCATAGGGTATTTTCCGGATGCATTGCATGTAAGGTGCAATGTGGCTTTGGCATTGCACATATGGTGCTATATCTCAGTGCATTGCACCGTACATGCTATATTCATAGCGTTTGGAATCTCAGTGAAGGGACGTGGTGGGTGTTTCTCAGCCAAGATATGCTAAGAAATTTTGATTTTATGATATCAAACCTTTCTTCTTGATCTGCGTTTTTTAATTTTGACTGATGTTCAATTTTTAATCACTCTACTATTGAATTTTTCCAAGGAACAACTGGTTTGTATTCTTTGAACTTTTAACTGTACATAGTTGGTTGTCTATGAATGAGAAGACCTTTCATCATGATTATGAGCTATGTAATTTAAACTGTTTTGAAATTGTAATTTACTTTTTTAATTTATATATTTAAAAGCAATCTATGTTATGCCTCTGCATGTACATAATTACAAGAAATGTATGTTACGCCTTTACATTTATTTATACTGTTTTAAAATTATAGTATACATACTTTTCAAAAATAAAATTTAAGCTATGCATTTAATGCCTCTACATTTATTGAACATAAAATCCTCTTCAAGATGAATCTGGACCGCTTTTGAAAAGTCTGGCGGCAGTCACCACCGGCATCCAGCCCAGTTAGTTTGGAAAGACTCCGCCAGAGGGTGCCAGGCGCTTTTGTCGCTTTGTCTCTCTCGCACCGATGCGCCAGGCCGCATGAGTGCGAGAGAGAGGGCAATGAAAACGCCGCTCCGGTCTACAAAGCGCAGGCGCAACTTTTCTCGTCTCAAATCCAAAACTCAAAACAACAGAACCCTCAACTCCGCCGAGTGAAACCGTTTCTTCCACAGTTATCGGCGTGAAGCTGATTTAATTTTTTTAATGATGGATTACGAATTTAAAATTAAAACCTCAAATGAACGGACAAAAGTGGAAGATTTATTTGAGTTTGAGGGATGTAAGGTCGGGCGCGGAACGTACGGACATGTCTACAAAGCGAAGCGGAAAGATTCGTAGGTGTCCCAGTTAGGTTACGATGCATTTTTACCGTGTCTTTCTCTCCCATTCTGCTTGCTCTTCGTGCATTTGAAACCCTTTCCCATGGTCCCCCATCACGTCACTTGACTTTCCACTTCACTCAAGTTGTGAAGGAGCTCATTTTTCATTCATAAAAAAAGTTGTGACCTGGACGTGGAAAGGATTCTTTTGAAAGCTCTATTCCCTCAATAATGCCTTTTTTCTTCTATTCCTATTTAGCTCGGAGAAAGATAAAGATAGTGTTAAAGACTATGCACTAAAACAAATTGAGGGCACTGGCTTATCTATGTCTGCATGTCGAGAAATAGCTGTAAGTAATGAGGTGAATTAACCAACGTACCCTATACTCTTGGATTAGCTCCATGTTTTACTCCTTTCCTTCTTTTTAGCTTTTGCGGGAACTGAAACATCCTAATGTGATCAACTTAATCAGAGTTTTCTTGTCGCACAATGATAGGAAAGTGTGGCTTTTATTCGATTTTGCTGAACATGACTTATGGGTAAAGTATTTTATCTATTTTAGATTACACTAATCAAACCTTTTGCAAAATATAAAATTGTAACGTCCAATCTAATTTGTGTGTGTCTTTTTCAGCACATTATCAAATTTCACAGAGCTGCCAAAGCAAATAAAAAACCTCTCTTAGTAGCCAAAGCAATGGTTAAATCTCTACTCTATCAAATTTTAGATGGCATTCATTATCTTCATTCAAATTGGGTTCTCCATAGAGATTTGGTATGCAATTTCCTCAAATTATATTTACCCTTGCGGCTTCCAGTCATCTTAACGAGCTGTTTTTATTTTAGAAACCAGCCAATATTTTAGTGATGGGTGAAGGAATTGAACGAGGGAGGGTCAAGATTGCTGACATGGGCTTTGCACGCCTTTTTAATGCACCTCTGAAGCCACTAGCAGATCTTGATCCAGTGGTAGTAACATTTTGGTATCGTGCGCCAGAATTGCTTCTTGGTGCTAGACACTACACTAAAGCCATTGGTGAGTATTTTCCCTCTCTAACCCTTTGATATAATCATCTTTATTTTCTATCATGATCACCCCTTTTAATTTTAAATCTCAATTTTTCCTTTCTAGATATATGGGCCATAGGATGTATCTTTGCTGAACTCCTCACATCTGAACCTATTTTTCATTGTAGACAAGAAGATATTAAGACTAGTAATCCCTATCATCATGATCAGCTTGACAGGTTCGCACAGTGTCTTTAATACCTTTGGCATGATAGTAAGTGGTTTTTATTTCTAATTTTTCTTTGCAGAATATTCAATGTTATGGGTTTCCCATTGGAAAAGGAATGGGAGGACATTCGTAAAATGCCTGAACATCCCACACTTGTGAAGGACTTTAAACGCTCTAAGTAAGTTATTCTCTAAAAAATGCTAAATTTTATCAAAAAGTGCATCTAAATCCCCACTGCTCTATAAAATTATTAACCAATGCTTTTGAAAATCATTTGCAGTTACACTAACTGTTCCTTAATCAAATATATGGACAGACACAAGATCAAACAGGATAGTAAAGCATTCCATCTGGTTAGTGTTGAATTTGCTTAGCCTTTTCAATATGTATGTGTCGTATCCATAATGTATTTGTATGCATTTTCTGTATCTGTTTTTCTTTTTTCAGCTCCAAAAGCTTTTGCTTATGGATCCAACTCGCCGTATCACTTCTGAACAAGCTATGCAAGACCCTTACTTTGTAGAAGACCCTTACCCAACTTCTGAGTAAGTACTCCATTTTTTACCCTGCTTTATTTTTCAATCAAACAAGTATGAAGTCTAATGCCATCTTTTGACACCTTTCTGACAGTGTGTTTGCTGGCTACCAAATTCCGTACCCGAAACGAGAATTCCTTACTGATGATGATCAGGATGACAAATCTGACGCTAACAAACGTCAGAATCAAGCTGCCAATGTAAGTTTTTATCGGCGAATCTTTTGAAAAAATCTAACTAACAGCGCTAATTTTCTTCTGGCATATTTTGCGAAAGTAATGTTTGCTGCTTGTGCTTAAACTTATAACAAACAGAATTAATCTGTAGTCCCCATCCATCTGGTGTACAACAGATTATGCTGACCTCTTCCGACTATCACTGACATTTACTGTGCCTCTTCTGCTTTTTGTTAAGTGGATTTATGTTCTTTCATTTTCCTTTTGCCTAACTTATTGCTTAGAGTACTTGATGAACCAAATTAAAAAATTGCATTTGTATGAAGTATTTTGTTCCTCAGGTTTATCTTCTTTTGCTACTAAAGTTATATCATTTACATCTAGACCTCAGTGACATTCTTTTAAGTTAAAAAATAAAAGGCATATTATATCTTCATACATTGGACATCTTTTCCTACCAATGTCATATTACATTCAATAGTTTGTCTTCCCTGTTCTTCCTGAAGAAATTTTTTTAATACAGCAATAAATGGTTCAAACACATTGCATGTATCATGCTCAGAAGATGGTAGTTGTCATTAAGGCTCAATTTTATCAATATTTATTTACAATTTTCCTTTTCAAAATGAAACTTCAATTCATGATTGAACTGCTAATTTTCTTGTCTTGTTGCTCAGTTTTGTTCAATTATTCTCAAGCTCATATTAAAATTAAATTTTGAGTTTCACCATCTTGATAAATAGTCATTACATGAATTGCCTTTCAATGATTACATTCCGTCCAAATAATGACTTCCAAAAACACAAGGAGAAAAAAAAAGTTCTTTTGGCTTACTCTGCTTGGTAATGGCTCTATTGGTGGCACATTGGCACATGCTTTTACATGTATTGAGGAAGACCTAAATTCAACCTACTTAAAAATTTGTCTGTGTCACTCCACAGACTAGTTAAAATTTGTCTCAGTCACTTCAAAATCCACGTGTTTTGTCTGTGTGTTCAATTATTGATACATAATCATTTAACTGTTTGAATCAATGAAAAGAGTTAAAAATTAAGTTCTCAAATATTAAATAGTTCTCCCTCTTGTATTCCCCAGGGAAATCAGGGGCAAGGAGATCAATCGAGCCACCATGGACCAAATGCCAAGAGAGCGCGGCTAGGGCCCCCGCACCCTTCCGTGAGCACAGCCAACACCATGAGTGGCCAACAGCAGCAGCAGCAACAGCAGCAGCAACAACAGCAGCAGCAGCAACAACAGCAGCAACAGCAGCAGCAGCAGCAACAACAACAGCAGCAGCAACAGCAGCAGCAACAACAGCAGCAGCAGCAACAACAACAAGAGTTTCATCAACACGTCCAACAAAACATGATGTATCAAAGCAATCAAAACAACCAGAATCAAGGATTTCAAAGGTTCTAAAGTTCATTTTGCTCTTAATTGTTCAATGATATGGAATTTATGTCAATCATATTTTCAGTCACTATTTACTCCTTTCATTACTGATGATTATGAAAGGTATTTTGGCTCTGAGCCATGTAAGATACATTCTTTAATTCCAGAACCTAAAAAACTTGAAATAGCGATATTACGTGGAAATTGATTCTATCTTATTCACATTACTTGTTCCTTGAATGGTGCTGTCTTTTCTGATAGTGCTGTTTTATTGTATGACTATATTTTCTTAGCTTTTATGGATATACCATAAGTTTCCAATGAATTTAAATCTAGTCTGTGGAGGAAATTGACAGTTCATTCTTGTTGTTTAAGCATATGGCGTGGTTGTGATTTCATCACATACATTTTAGTTACACCTTGATTTATGTAGATCTGCTGGTACCACCTGATTTACTTGTGCAGAGTCCAAGTGCTCTTGCAGGCGTGGTATGTGTGATCCACATTTGATTATATCATGACCATTTATTTATTTTCTTAAAAAAAAAGAGAGATGAAATTTTTTTTCTTGTTTTGTACTTTAACAGGGTAGTGTCACTTACACCCTTTAATAAGGCTTGGAGATTTAATTCATGAGGAATTTTACTTCACATCAAGGACTCTCCTATGTCATCATTTTGCTCTGATTATTGTATTTCATTGGTTAAAAAGTTGATCAATTTATATTGGGTCTGTCCTTTGTTCTATTCATTTTTCCACTCATCAAACATATTTTGACCTTCAAAGTTTGTAGATTTGTTTCTTATGGTAACCTGTTTTTATTGGCCTCCAGAAGTTTTCAGACTCGTTTGTTGCGTCCAAATTTTCAAACCAGTATATTATGACTGTGACTGCCCAGAAATACTGATAAACGTATCTTGTGAACTATGTTATAAACTGAGTTAATCAACGTTCAGTATGGACTGACATTAAGTTATTTCTTTTTAAACATTCTCTTTAGTTTTGAGATAGACTTGAAATATTGATAGACTGTTACAGCTGATGTAATTGTTATAAGCAAATCAAGCCACATAACCACTGTCTTTGCTGTCTGTAAACTAGACAGTGCTACAAACACGTGGCGTGCTGTAGGCTTATATCTTGGGTTGGGATTGCAGTGGGACTGAAAGGTGGTGTATGTTTCTCTTGTGATGGGTGGGGTGTGCCGTATCTGTGTTTGGTCGTTTGCGCTGCATAATTGTGATACTTATATTTATTAAATACTAAATTTATTACACATTTTCATTTCTGAAAACGAGGTTTTTGAACTGAACCTTAACTATTTGTCTTGTAGAGAACCCCATTCATCTCATTCAAATAAGAGAAAATGAGAGAAAATGATTTAATTTGCCTTGCAGTAGAGGCGTGTAGCTTTGGGCCTCTACAGTGCAGGACGCGCGTGGGCCAGGCTGGGCCGGGCGCCGCGACAGCCCGCCCTCCGCCGCTGTCTGTCAACTTATGGGATTACCCAGGATCCCCGGTCGTGGCCACGCCGCCCTCGCCACCAGAAATCAAAGGCTCAGGGTCCCGAGGGGCTCCGAGGGGGGCTTGGGTCTCTCAACACACATCGTCGTGCCGCAACGCCGGGCAACGCAACCAAGGATTCGATTGATCGATTTTAAATTCTCTCTTTGTCGGCTTGCAGTGTCATTTCTTTATAAGTGGTTATTTTATACATTCTTTCTTGAAACTTTACCTTGCGTTTCTGCGATAAATGCCAAGTAATCTTTCATCCTTAAGCCGAGAAACTTGAATATTTCCTCTTTTTACTGAAAACGGATGATTCTGATATTTATGCATTGCTATAATTGAAACTAAAGCCAGCCTTCTATCTGAATTCAATCGGAATCCTCTCGCCGGACCTGCCGACGCAATGGAGACTCCCGGCAAGCAACGGTCGCCGCGCGCCGCCGCGCCACCTCAGCGTCACATCGTGGTCACATCGTGGTCACATCGTGGTCACATCGTGGTCACATCCTTGTCTCGCCGTTCCGACACCAGCCAGACGATCCAGACTGACGAAGTGACCGACTGACTCGACATTGCATTTCGCACGTAGTTTCAGCTGCATGCCCAAGCCTCGCCAGCTGGAAACTTACGGACGGCCCGCGACCGTCAGTGTCCCGGCAGGCCAACGCACTGTGGGCCAGAGGACCGGTGCAGGCGGCCAAAACTCAAGACGCGTTTGGAGCTCCAGAGTCGCTAAATGGGACTCGAACCGAACGTGTGACCCCACCAATGAACTGCTCTCCGAACGAGGAATCCATTGGTGGGGTCACACGTTCGGTTCGAGTCCTATTTAACGACTCTGGAGCTCAAAACGCGTCTAGAGTTTTGGCCGCCTCCACCGGTCTTCTGGCCCACTGTGCGACGGTGCTGACGGCAGGGGCGGATCCAGAGGCGGCGAGTAAGCACATTTTGCTACATCCTCCCCCCCCCCCCTTCCCTGCACCCGTCTCTGGATTCCCCCTGTGTCCAGGAAGAGAGCGAGCAAGAGAGACAGAGAGTGTGGGAGCGCCCGCCGAATCGAGGGTAGGCAGCACGCGTGGCACGGACGTGCGGCGGGCTGGCCTATCTAGTTACCATTACCATTACGGGCTAGGGCACGCGCGGGTGGCAAGCGCGCAGGCAGCGAGTTAGGGAAAGTTTGCGTTGCTTTCACGAGAGGAAGGAGAAGAAGCTGAAGAACGACCGAGGTTCTTTTTCATACATAAACGCATTGGTTTGGTTTATGCTGCCGAAGGAGAGGGGGACTGGTTGCACTGAGAATCCAAACGCTATGAGTATAGCGTCAATTGGTGCAATGCAAAAGCATTGCACATGAAGTGCAATGCCTCCCATTTCCCATGCATTAGCATAGGGCCTTTTCGGGAAGCATTGCACCAAAGGTGCAATATGGCTGTGGCATTGCACGTATGGTGCGATATCACAGCGCATTGCACCATACGTGCTATACTCATAGCGTTTGGAATCTCAGTGTGGGCATGTCATTTTGAGTTGAACCGCGCGCGTGCAAGTGCAATTCAAAAGCCTCCGAGCCATCGCTTCGTAATACGGTGCACGAGAATGAGGTGCGCTCCGCATTTGCGGCACGTGCACGAGCCGGCCAGGGCAAGAGCGAGGGCGCAAAGAGAAAGACCGAACAAATCGAAAAAAAGGAACAGAAAGAAAGAGGCAGAGAAGAAAAAGTAAGAGAGAGAACAGAGCGAAGGAACTGGTTGACCGGTCCTGCTCCACCGGGCCTCTTCCAAATATGTATGGAATAAATTACCGGACGGGAAGGATGACAGCTTGCCTTGGTGCCCCTCCATTCCCCCCCCCCTCTCTCTCTCTCTCTCTCTCTCTCTCTCTCTCTCTCTCTCTCTCTCTCTCTCTCTCTCTCTCTCTCTCCCCTCTCTCTATCTCTCTCTCTCTCTGTCTCTCTCTCCCTCTCCCTCTCTCTCCTCCCCTGTCGTAAGCCCTCCACGCTTCCCTTTCGTTTTTGTTTCCCTCTTTTCGGCGACGCGCCCTACCGCGACCCCGCCACTACCTCACTTCATCTTTCGTTAATCCCACCCCCGATCCTTTTTGCTACACCGCCAAAAAGCGTAAACAGGTCGTAAAGTTTTATTGGGATGACGCCGAGCGTGGCGTGGCGTGGCGCGGCCTGATGTGTGGCATGGCGGTCTAGCTTTTACGAAAATCGCACACGCGAGGACGCGGGACGCGGCGGGTATAGGACTCCCCCCTCTCTTTGCCCCCTTTCCTTGTACTACCTGCACTCTAAAAATTTCATAGTGAAAACTCTCTGTATTATGGTGGGGCAGATGACTTAGTAATTTAACTTTTCTTTGCAAATCAATTGAACCTTGAAGATGTTTAGTTGAATTTCGTTTAAAATCTCCATTAGAATATGTTGCTGCAGTCTTCCATTGTAAGACATTTAGAGTTTGCTGTGACAAACGCCGCAGATCTGAAAAAAAAAAAGTTTTCCTGGTAGAAACAAGTTTTTAAGTGACTTTGGCTAATTAAGCCCCAGATTATTGAGACACGTTCCTTAGTAACGAGAAGCTCTAAGAAAAGAAGGAGCGAAGATTCTCGAGTCCATGTCTTCGCTGCGCTAAGCGGTCCGGTCAGTCCCTCAAATCGAAATTTATGCAATTTAAAGTCATGGTTTCCGACCTTCCGATTTTCAGCGCGGCAAGAGACCCCGGCGTGCCATGAAGGGATGTCGGAAAGCCCACATTTCGTCGCCTCGTAATGACGAAACGGCACGGCCCTTTCCTGGACCAATTTTTTCCCTTATTTTTTGGCGAGTGCGGTGGCAGTGGATTATCATAGCCACAGCTGCTGAGCAGGTCAGCGCGCAAGCCAACGAAGCCGGCGTGGCGAGGCGTGGCGAGGCGTCGCGTCCCTCCCGGTTCCCCTTCCATCCAGCCCTCCAAGCCCTCCAAGCTACTCATCCCCGGGCCACTCCACCCCGTGCAGGCCAGCTGGCCGAAGGGCCGAAGGCTGGCCCACTGCCAAAACAAGGGCGGGGCGGAATGAGCCCCGGGCCGTGGGCCCCCGCGCCGCCCCGGGGTGCATTGGCTCTATTACTGGTGCCGCGACCGTCGCATACATTTCGTGTCGCCATGTTTTTCTTCGCGGCAAAAAAAGACGAGCAAAAACTGGGGTTCCCTTTTTTTGGTCTCCTTCATTTCAAGCTCGGAAGCGAACGGCGAAGCCAGCGACAGCAGAGGGTCGTTTCTGTCCCTCTGTCTCTCTCGCACCTATACGGGACGCCGCGTGAGTGCGAGAGAGACAGAGCGATGACAACGACTCTCGAAATAAGTCCGCTGTGGCGGGCGTCCGGCGGGTGGCGGCGTCTGGGATCAAAGCGCTGCAGACTGATTCCGAGCGTTCTTTTCGTCACTGTCTCTCTCGCACTCATGGGGCGTCCCGTATAGGTGCGAGAGAGACAGCGAGTCGAGTCAGTCTGGAGGGGACGACCTGAGACTAAGTGGCCATCGGCGTAGCGCTTCACTCCGACGGCGGCGCGCCTGTGGACCTGCAGGACCTTCAGGACCTTCAGGGCCTTCAGGACGGCCTTTACGGCCCTTATGGGCTCTTTAATCTTCCCCAGCGCGCTCGGCCAGCCTAGAGCCAGCCTAGCCTACGGCCGGCCAGCCTGCCGCCGGCCGAGGAAGCCGAGGAAGCCGAGGAGAGCGTGGGCCAGCCGGACTAGCGAAGGCCCCAGTCTCGCCTCCCTGGAGTCAGTGATGGAACCAGGGACAGCGGGGAAAAGGGGGGAGGGCGCCATGAGAACGAGGGGGGCGCCACTTTCAAAAGTCATTGTCCGGGGTCCGAAAAAGTCAATTTTTCAGTCAAAAAAGTCATCAAAAGTCAAAAAGTCACTCCACTCAATAAGTAAAAAAAAAGTCAATTCTTCTAACTTTTGGGGAGATATTGCCTAAATTCAAGGGGTAACGCCACGATACGCCTTGAAAAAGTCGAAAAAGTCACCAAAAAGTCTTTAAAGTCCGTACAAAAGTCAGAAAGTCAGAGCGAGGGGGAAACGACTTCGGTTATCCGATGTACAGCAAATTGGTTCCGCTATCCGGATAACCAGAAATTTCGAAGTAATCCGGGGAAATTCTGAGGTAATCCGGGGTAATCCGGAGAATTTCTGAGGTAATCCGGCGTAATCCAATGGTAATCCTGGAAATTTTTCGATGTAATCCGGAGGTAATCCGAGGGTTATCCGGGGTTATCCCTATCCGATGTACACAAAATTTCTGAGTCGTTTCCCCCTCGAGTCAGAGACAAGTCAAAAAGTTAGGGACAAGTCGAAAAAGTCACCATTGAAATTAGTCACAGTCAGTCAATCTAGTCTCAAGTCATTGTCCACCTTCCCATCCAGTGGCGCCCCCCTCCCCTCGCATGAGAAGGTGTGGGCCACCCTGGGCCACAGTCAGCCTGCAGGTAGGCAAAATCTGACAACTCCGATCACGTTTTTCTTCGGCAGCCTCTGGTCGACGTCCACAGCGAAGGCGGGACTTGTTCTGCCGACCGATTCATCCCGGATTCCGTTTTGTCGTTCTGCCTGTGACGCACTCATGGGGCGTCCTGCATAGGTGCGAGAGAGACAGAACGACGAAAACGACTCTCGGAATGAGTCTGCTGGGCGTGCAGCAGGCCTGCTACGTCGTGCGAGGGCCGGAGTAACTCACGCTTCGGGACGACGTGTCCAGTGGAGCGACGCGGGGCGGGGCGGCGCGCATCGTCCCTGGGGAA